CCACAGACAGACTCCAAAAAGGCATCAGGGGGAGCCGCTCTCACGCCAACCCCTGGTGCATTATTATCATGCATTTGAATATGGAGGATCTGCCGCTAAGAAACAAGAGGAATCGACGATCATTCAAGATCGTAAAGGCTCTCGATAAAAAGTGCTCGGACCACACCAGCAAGCTAGCTGAATCGCGGCTCGAGATCGCCGCTGAGCGCGGGCGAGTCGTCCAGGCAGGTTGCAGGGCCGGTAGCGCCTTGTATCGGTTGCTCAAAGTGTCGGCACCCAGGTCAGCAACTCTTCCATTTACTGCCTTCGTATTGCTGATGGAGACAACGAGGGGCAGCAAAAACAAAGAATACGCATACCAGGTATCTCTCCATGCATTGCCAGAGAACCAAAGGCCTCAGGATATGCATTTTGAGGGGTCTTATAGGACGAGCGCTACGAAGCTCTCAATCGAAGATTTCGAGGCTTTGACTCCACAAGCAAACCGGAGAAAATCGAAAGCGACGACAACAACTTATAAGGCACTCAACACACCGTCAAAAAGGGGCTCCAACCGACGACGCCAAGCGCCTCCAGTCACGGACGATTCTTCATCATCGGGCAATTAAGATTCGTTCGAAATCGTTCAGAGTTAGGTACGAGGGACGAGGGAAGAGTGCTAACTCGTAATCTCAATCACCTTCTGCTTGCAAAGATATTCCGGTTTGCACTTTGCGGGGTTTGCTAGCACCTCGAGCATGGGGACTGTCCCGCGATCTCCATCGAAAATAAAGCGTGCCCCATCGTCAGCCGTCGCATGCTTATGTTTACTATGAGTCGTTCCGCGAGACGGCTGGGTGGATTGCTTGAGTACGTCGCCCCACTGTACGAGAAGGTGGTGTGGATCACGGCACCTGTGAGCTTTGACTCCAGCTCTCTCCAGGCCAATGCGTACCACTTTGACTAAATCGTGCATGGAGTAAGGGGGTAATATCCCTTTAAGTCCTGCTATCTCCCCCAACTTTAACGTCATTTGTGTGCATTGTTCCTCTTCGTATGCTCGTTTAATTCGACCAATAGCTTTCTCGAGGCACTCACGATAGTAATCTTCCACCTGATTGGACCTTCGAACGTGTGTATTGATCACGCTCTGCATGGGACGTGTTATCTATAGCCGAATGTAAAAGAATTGTCACATGCCATCTGCCTTCACTGACAAATGTAGCACACATCAATCGGCTGACTCCGTTCACCTGTTATATACGTAGACTCACTGTACTATTGCATCTTTACTAGCTAGTATCAACGGTCGGATTCACAATGAGTGCGACGTCCGCCTCTGAGCTGCTCGGCGTATTCCCATACTGATCATGCAACTCCTTCCAGAGGGCCGGTTGGAAGACGTGCGGCCCTACGAACTTGTTATTGCTCGTCTTGCTCAAAAGAAAGTCGAGGCCCAGCCCGATGGAGATGACCTTCTTGACCAGGTTCCGCTTCAGGTTCGGCGTCAGCTTGTCCAGCGCAGCCTTCTGTCTTATTCCATAGTCGCCGCGCACCTTCGCAAGCCTCTCTTGGCTCGCGCCGATCTTCGCCGTATAGACGGCTTGGATTGAAGACTCCGTGACCTCGTAGTTGTCAAGTGCCCCGTCGAGCGGTTCTTCTTCCGAGCCCTTCACGCCCATGAGGTCCGCCAGCACGTCGCGAGCAAAAAGCACCTTGTTCTGAGGTCTGTCCCGCTCCTGTAACGAA